CTTTCCCTGTTTTTTAACAAATAGGTGAGTTACACCCTCCTTCCCCCCCTCCACAGAACTCCTTGGTTTAAGAGCATTACCATAGTTTTTGACAGGGTCTGAAACTGCCAGGAGGAGAGGCAGAAAAGTTCTAGTTTTGTTCTGAGGAGAAAATAAGACAGAAACAGAGGTCAAGTTACTTCTCTACCTGGGAGTCAGTAGTGTCTTCAACTCCTGTAATGTTATCAAAGTGAAGAACCTGCAAGAGAAAAGGCCAGTGGTCGAAATGACAAGCATGACCAAAAAGGAGATTTACACACGATGCTTGAGGTAAAGCTGTTGGCTCAGAAAAAAAAAAAAAAAGTGCTGAGAACATAGATGAACTAAAAATTTACAAGTGAGCTTGCAACTGGTTTATGCCACCTGTAGCCTTCTGAGAAACTGTAAATACCACTCTTTGCTTAGATGATATTTTTGCTAGTGAATGTCTAGGAATTAACTGAGTTACATATTATGTACTGCTAATAATATTCTCTCTTTCTCTCTTCCTGGTATTTATCTGTCATATATATTGGAAAAAAAAAAAAAAAAGGATCACATTATCTGGAAGATGTCAGAATTTAGGAAAAAAAAACTTATAATAAAATTTGCTGCCTGGTAATCCATTTTGTTATTGTTCTTGAGATATTTTTCTTTTCTAAGTCAAAACTAACCGCCCCTTATAGTGAAAATATACATCTTTGGTATTTTCTCTGAATAACTCTCAATCCAGTTCTTCATTTTGTGACTTTGGCTTATTTCTGGTGCATTAAAACAGGTGAGAACCTTGTCAGTGGACGATAGATTTCAGTGATGTTACTTAGAAGGAACAACAAGTGCAAGTAGAGGTCACTTTACACCCATGTAAGTAACTTACCTTCTCCATCTGAGATTGAGTGTTCCCTCTTGCTCCCAGATAGACCATTGCCAGGGTTGAAATGATACTCAGAGGGCAATACAAGATGTTGTCATTCACATGGTGGACTTTCAGCTCTCTGAATACGTCAAAACAAAATTCTCCATTTGCTGCACTGATGGAGCCCATTGTGAAATCAGTGTTATCTAAAGCAAACAGAAAGAGTCTGACATATTAAGATTAAATGTATTAATTTTAATGCAAGAAAGTCAGTGCACTTGAACCCATGAACTTGGTGCACAGGTTTTTTTTTCAGCAAACAGAATCCAGTGGTGTGGATTTGAAAGGCAGACATGCTTTGGGATTCATGAGCAATCAAAATGCTGGATAGCTACCAGTTACACATAGGCTGGTGATATTAGTTACTTTGAAAGGTCTTTTCTCATCTCTTAAAGAAAAAAGCATACATAGATTTGTTCTCAGAATCTTCATTGTTTTAAGACTCCAAAATAGGTTCCTCACTATAATTTTTAACATCACTTTTAATATCAGTTGACAGATCAGCCCTCTATGATCCAAACTACAGGTAATTACAGTATACACTGTGCAAGTCTGAAGCAACAGCATAAATTTTGCCAGATTGACTCTAATTTCATCCTCGTGTAAATGGAATCTGGGTTCTTAACATCACCCATTTTATCAGAGGTCTCAAATGTTAGCAACATTACCTTCTTTTTTTTTTTCAGTAGGGTAATGAAGGCATAGCAATGGAGACTGCAAATGATTTACCAAATTCATCCAGTTTATGACAAACATCTAGAACTGGTACATGTTCCATTCATTATTGACCTAATTATTTCTCACTCTGTTTTAAAATTGCTCCTTAATTTTTACTATCACCTTTTCCATAAAATCCACCTTTTAATAAGGCAGTGCTTGTTTAGCCTTGTGTTTAATTTGCAGAGATCTTCACATCTTCAATATTTAGATATCTCTTGTGCCCTGTTTCTGACACTCTTGTAAAATTTTTCCTGTAGTTTCAGCACCTAGCATTTCATGTAACACTGAAGGGAAGGATTTTTTAGTAAAGAAGACAACACAGAGTAGAAAATATAGTACTGTCAAGTCTAATGCAGCAGTATAGTGTTTATATATAACTTCCCACATGTTGACACAAGCAGAGAGAAGCTTGCTAGGGTGGAATTTCCCTGTTTGCATCCACAGAGCTCTTGGGAACCTTCAAGCAATGCAAACTTTGATTTGTTTCCCTCTGTGGCTGCTAGAGAACAAAATCCAGGATACTCTGCCATATACATCACAGTCCCTATGGAATCAAGGCATTCATGTGACAGTCATCTCTTAATGTGGAATAATTTGAACAACAGTGCATCTGGCTGTTCTCTGCTAGAATGGATGCTCAATCTCTCTCTAAATTGAACCACCTTACATAAGTGGTATAAGGTAGATTTTTTTTTATCATTTACCAATTCTGCTAACTATTTTAGGCTTTAAGCTTCATTTATGATCTTGGTGAAGAAACATTAATTAAGCAAATACTTTTTTCATTTTTTTTTAATCTTAGAAAATGTAACTATTAAAGATAACACAGAGCTAGAGTATGCTGGGGTCACCTGAACACGCCACATTCCTTAATTTCATTCAGAGAATATCTTCCATAAACCCTGCAACTGAGCTTTATTTGCATCCTCCTGAATTTCAACGAATTCAATTTTGCCTTTTAATTCTAAACAAAAAGTTAAAGGGATAGAGGAGGAAGGAAGAAAGGCTGTCATAACATATCACCAGCTTTTCAATGTGGAAGAGTTTGTAAACAAAGCTTTAGTTCATACAAACAAAGACTTTGATTTCATGAATGGCAGAATGCGAAACAGTAAAATAATGCAGAACGCACAAGTGAAGGTGAGATGAGGTTTCTTCAGAAGGCATCCTCTAATTAGTTGTTTCTTCAACTGATACTGAAGGTCACAAACATGAGGTTTCATCAATCTTTTTGTAAGTTTTGTAAGAAATCATTTATTTTTTTTTTAAATTGCAGATTACAACTTAAATCATAATTGAAAGAAATGCTTACCTTATCAGGTTCACCTGTGAAGGTAATAGTACAGCTTCTCAGCTGTACTTGGGGCAGACTGGCCGAACTGCTTGAAATATATCTTGTGTAATTTTGTGACACGCCCCATGCTGCCTGTTCTGTGTTTACCAAATGAAGTGATGGATGGAGCTCAATGTCAGACATCCACTTTTACTTGGAATAGTCCATTCTTTCAAAAAAAATATAAAAAATGCCTGAATTAAAGGATTTTACCCTCAAATCTCCAGAATGGAAGATTCATTGATCATACCATGTGAAACCTTGTAGAAAAGGTTGAAACAGCTGAAGCAAAGATAATTATAAAAGCTGTTCATTGGAACTTGAATAGTATGATTTGGTTATCGCAGCAAATAGTGTGGCATGGCTAGGGAAAATAAAACAAAAATGTGAGAAATCCAGTTGTGCAGAGTGCATCTAAAGGATTTTGAGTTCATTCCCTTATTATTCCTCTGTAATGAGTACTGACAGGCCAGATCCCTCTCAGAGTCACCATTCTGTGAACTCAAAAAAATTAGTAAGATCAGCATATGTAGGACTGCTTGCTGTGGTATGCCCACACTATACTTATTGCAACTTTTCGCTCTCCTGTTGTTGGCTGGACTACCAATAACACTAGTCTTTCTTCCCACCAGAATCCATAGCTCTTACTGAGGAATGGAGAAACCTCTGCTAGCAAGGAACTCAAGAAAGAGCACGTCCTTCAAATGTTAGTTGCCAAATTTAATAATATTTGAATAGATTATTCTTCAAAAACTTGGATGTAGTTGTCCAGTGCCACATACAGCCTGCATTGTAGAAGACCACAGGCATACTGTTTCACAGAGCACAGTTTTTCATCCTAGAGCAATCTAACTCAGGAAACTCAGATGTAGTCACAGTCTGCACAGCACATCAGTAGAACAAAACATCAGTAAGCATATTGTGGGAATAGGAATTAATTTCAAAAGCAATATTCAGATCATCTGTATAGAGAAGAATTACAGAGCTGAAGAGAAGCGCGTTGGGGAAAGAGAATTGAACAGAGAAGAAAGACAAGGCTTCTGTTGCTTTTTAAATTAAAACATCAGCATATTTAGACCCCAGTCAGATGCTACCAGAAAAGGATTTGAACTTGCTGCTATAATTTTGAAGGGTGTTTTAAGGGGAGTTGTTCTTGTCATTCTCCACAGGTCACAGCGCCAGATGCTGGGTTCGAAATGTGCCTTTTGTACACACAGAGACCATTCTTACAGATCTTCCACAAGCAACTTCATGGCATATCAGGTGAACAAACCAGCTGAAGAAACATTCATGGTCTGCAGGACAGTCATAATGTACAATAGCAAGCTTAAAGCAGTCGCATAATTTCTTTGAAATAAAAGAATGAACAGACAATAAAAGAAACTACTTTGACCTCTCTAAGTGCCATGTGATTTTAAAACAGAAATCCAAAGTCAATACACAAAATGCCTCTGAAATTGTCTAGAACAAATTACGCTTCTGGAGAGAAGAGGTGGACTCCTTAACCCTTTTAGTTGTCAATGCGAGTGGAAAGCTTCTGAATCATCCATACCTTTCTCTCTAATGCAGTCCTTATTAGTCCCATTCAACCAAAGATACTAGTGCAATAATAACTGTGAAAAGCTCAGTCTGGACTGCCATTAGTACTTTACATGGCAGTTTGAAGCCCAGGCTGGTCTGCTACGGCCACTGCTATGCAGTGACAGTGCTTTTGAGGAAAGGTTATTAGGCCTTGCCTCACATTTGTGGCCCATCACTGCAAATCTACTGTAAAGAGAATGTTCTCTCACAGGAGCTGTACATAAATTGGTCACCACTGTTGTGAGTCCTGTTTAGCTGAAAATAGTGTCACTGTGGTGGTAGAAAGACGGGTCAAATGGGTGAATGTGTCTGTACATGGGGAATACCTGTAATCACACAACTGGGAGTACTCCCAAAACTGGAAGCTGTTCCTGTGGCTGCTGCCCCTTCTGCCTTTCCTGCTTAAGACCGCTTTGTTTCTGTTCAAACAAGCTTTAACACTCACAGCCACAGTCCATTGTTGTATACTTTACAGCTCAGAAGTCAAAGGATTAGCCAATATGTTTTACCCTGTCCCTTCTAACCTTCTAACTTTTGAGTATACCTTGAATCTTTTTCCCTGACAATCAAATTGACTAGCAGTACGCTTCAGCTCACCGTATGCGAGTCACCTTGGCATTTGTGCACCATCTACCTGAATCACATTTGGATCATCATATCTAGCCTGGATGTTAGTAGCTACAAAAGTGTCCGGTGAGTCAGTACAGTTGTTTCATAGCAGCCAATTCCCAGCATTAATGTTATTAGCAATGGCATGGTTTTCAAAATACTTCTAAGTTGAATATATTCATTAATGAAAGGAATTTTTTGTTTTGCAGCAGAGAAGGGGCAATACACTCCTTCAGAAGCATGTTAGTACACAACCCATGTTACTGTTTTTGTTAGCATTTCTATTTTTTATTGGTGAAATGAATGATTAATGTAAAGCAAGTTGCAGATGCAACAAAATCATTCCACAAGTAAGTAAAAATCTTGATCATGATCAGCAACCAGTGCAGAATCATAAGAATACAAGAGGTACTGCATAGTCTACTTGGCAACTTTAGATCTATCTTGGAGCCTAGTGAGATTAAGCAAACCTTCCTGCAGTTGAAACACTTCCTGGGATAAAAGATAATGGATTGCCCTGTCCAGCATGGCTGTGTAATGCGGCACAAACACAAAAGGATGTGTTTTGCCACATGTCCTTTTTTTAACAATGCTTGTCCCAAGAAAGAGGTCGGCTAAGGCTTTGCTGCCCTTTCCTCTGCTAGGTATTTCATTGTGGAGCTCTCCCTAAACCAACAGACTCTTGGACATTTGAGCCTTTCCAAAAGGATACGAAGTCCAGGTCAGCTCACAGACCAAAGCCTCTAATCCAATCACAAAACCCCACACAGAACTCAAGATTTTGTTCTCATCCATGCTGCTTCTCTTTTGCCAGTAGTAAGGAGCAACATTGATTGTTTCATGTTTGTCTTGCTCAGGGTGACTGCCAGTGATTGTTTAGTTAGTTGCCATTGCAGACCTTGGTGCTCTAGCTATCAACGATGATTTCTCTCTCGGTTGTCCCATAGGACTGTCTTCTTTCCCAGTCTGAAGAAAATGAAGTGTCTGTTCAAGGTCCTTCAGACAGGAGCCCATAGCCCACCTGGCACCTTTCTGCAGCAGTGCTGTACCACTCTGAAGAGACACACATTGTTGCCTGTAGTGCTGCCTCGATCATTCGCAGACTCTGACAGGGATGTGCATACCTCAGTGTTGGCAGAGTGGATTTCTCCAGAGAAGGCATCTTCAGAAGGATTCTATGATGGCCTCGGTCACAAGTCGCTCACACTCACTCACTGTATTTGCTTAGCAGTGCACAGAGCACCCAGGGGCTGCTGCTACACAAGTTCTGAACCAGTGCACACAGCAGTCCCTTTATCAGTCACCACAGCGTGTGTGAAGTCCCTTATTCATCCCTCGGGTCCCTGGGATAAGCCAACAGCCAGGGTGAGGCTGTGGATGGTCATACCTCACTGGTTCCTAAGGAGGCAGCATGTTATCCAGGCCCTTACACCCAGCGTAAACATGGTGGTCACTGGCATTGGCACAACTAGTTTACTGGCTGTGCCACACAGGAGCTAAGTTAGCAGGGTCCCTCCCCACAGAAAAGGCTGTTCGTGGCAGCCTGTAACTAGAACTGCTCATGTCACCATGACTCATGTTACCTCCCATCACTCACTGGAAGGCTGCCCAGCATGGTGGTTATCTTGGCACGTGGTCCCAGGAAAAAAAGCATTTTTCTTCCGCACAAAGTAGGATAAATGAATCTCTTGGTTTGTTTCAACACAGACATCCTTCCATGAAGCTTTCCTCCCCTCTGTCTAGTAGCCTACTGAGATTCTTAATAATATTCCTGGCATGTTTCCTGCCTCCCCTACAGGAAAAATCTGCTGCAGAACAGGAGAGAAGGAGAAATGTCACTGCACAAAGCTCCATGCCGTCATGTCAGTTTTGCAGAAAAGAACTGGGTGTCCTGGCGGACACCAAGTTGACCATGAGTCAGCAATGCGTCCTTGTGGCAAAGAGAGTCAACAGCATCATGGGTTGCATTAGAAAAAGCATTACCAGCAGGTAAAGGGAGATTATCCTTCCCTTCTGCTCAGCGCTGATGCGACTACAGCTGGAGCGCTGTGTCCAGCTCTGGGCTTTCTGGTACAAAAGAGTTTCGGATGAACTGGAGCAGGACCAGAGAAAAGCCATAAAGATGATGAAGTGATTAAAACATCTGTCATGAGAGGAGACACTCAAAGAAACGAGACTTGTTACCCTGGAGAGGAGAAAGTGCAGGGGGGATCTTATCCATATGCATAACTTACTGGATGGGAGGGTGAAAAGAAGATGGAGCCAGACTTTCTTCAATGAACAGGCAAGAGGCCTTAGGCACAACTTGAAATAGCATGAATTCCATTTAAACATAAGAAAATATATTTGTTTATAGGGAGGGAGGTAAAGTCAGGTTGCCCAAAGAGGCTGTAGAGTCTTCATCCTTGGAAATATTCAAAACCCAGCAGGACATGGTCCCAGGCAACCTGCTGTAGCTGACCCTGCTTGACGCTTGGAATAGACAGTTGGCAGAGATCATTTCTAATCTCAGCTGCTCTGTGATTTGGTGTTATATGTAGAGGAAGATCTCAAGGAACAGGGAGACAGCCAGGTTATTGCACATTAATGTGCTAAGAAAGTACTTTGGTGTAGATGAGGCACTCAGAACAGGAGTGTGTGGCAAGTCCCACAGAGGAGTACTGTTTCCATGTCATACAGGGAGCAATGTTGCCTCATACTGGGAGGCCCTTGAACCTCTCTTTGTGCTTTCTGGAGATGTGTTTGTTGCACCAAGAGGTGCAGAAGGTTTCAGACTTTGTCTTGTCCCCCATGTGTTACCTGCCAAGCCTTCCATCTGGTGCTGCACAGCAGTCTGTCAGAGAAACAGGGTCTCAGTTCTTCAGGAAACAAAAATGCCAGAAGCTTTTGCAAGGCTACAACAAAAATGCCAGTAGCAAGAAGGACATTTTCATGATTTATTTATTTTTGTCTCTTTTCAAATACAAAATTTTGGAGCATTTCAATATTGTTAACATTTTGGCCATTTTTTTTTTTAAAAAGCAAATATGCTGAGCTGCCTATTGGCGTGAAAGCCAGAACTGTGCCTGGGAAAAGAAGCCTGCCAGGTGAAAGCACAACGCTGCTCAGGCAGAACACAGGATCTAGCCATGCCCCTGCAGCACCTGCTCCGTTCCACTGCATGCTTGCCAGGTGGGCGAGGGGGCAGAGAGGCTTAACCACAGAGCCCATCTCTCTGGGAGACAGGAAGGTCTGCTTCTCCCAAATCTCCCTAGTGTTTTGGAGAGCTCGGAGGCTGCAGCAGGCATTCATTATCCCACCAGCCAGGTCTACCGTCCCCTTCATGGGGAATACTTTTCCACTGCCCTTTAAATATTGTGCCTCCTACCTGGTCTGTGGTGGCCAGGTCCAGGTCCTAGTCATTGGTACTTTGTTGCATGTTTGGTTCACTATTGATGAATTTGCACTTTTTGCTGCCTCTTGTTTTCCCTTTTGAGAAAGAGGAAGCTTTGTATTTGCTTGTAAGCCACATGGCTCCTCTGCTTTTTTCTCATTCCTTCATTTTGACCTTTGTTGTCATTTAGGAAACAACATTGCTCACTGAGGCATATCTTTGTACTTTCAGCACTTTCCAGTTTAATAATCATAGGAAGGCTAGTTTGTAAATGTAACCCTTTTCAGGTCTTCTTATTGTTTAAGTGTACTGGCTTTTAAATTTAATGGACTGGATCTACTGCTTCTGGCAGATGCGAAAGGTGAATAAATTACTTACGATAAACCTCGAGATGTTGAAATTTTGCATCTCTTGGACATGTTCATATCACTGCTTTCATTTCTAAAGAACAAAAATTAAAGTATACTTGGTAAAATAGCTGGTTTTACCACTGAAAAACAGCTGAGTATGTATAACGCATCTCCTGATGATATTCAAATAATGTGAGTGTCAGACCTGCTTTTATCATACCGCACCATGTGCTAATGTGGAAATAGCTGATGTTAACGATGGAGTTCCTCCTCTAAAGACTCTCAGTGGGGAAATGCTTTGCCTAACGGTTCTTGGTCTACTTATTCTTTCTTATGCCTTTTGAGTTATATAATTTCAAATTATTTCATCATATAAAATGGCAGAGCTGCTGGAATAGATGTTCCTCAGATTAGACTAATTGTCAGTACATCTTTAATAGCCATTGGAATTGTATTGAAAAATACATAGTAATAAATCAGTATTCCATTGGGCTATTTCTTGGTAATCTGCAATACAGAGAGCAATCAAACTCTAGATGTGTGCATTTATGCATTTCATAAATGCATAGGAAACTTTCTATCTACATGCTTTATTCATTCTAAAAATAGGATTTTGTAATAAATCCCATTTTACTCACAACTGTTACCAATGTAATGATATTTTTAAGGGTTTGTGGTCCAGAAAATTAATATCATTCTCATGACAAGCATTTGTGATTTTCTTTTATTGTGTTAACAAAAAGAAATCAATTGTATGCATCAAAATCAAGAAGGTATGATTAGAATGAAAACAGGACATAGTATTGAGCCAACATATTCATATTTGCGGATGTCAAAGGACACACAGGAAGATAAAGACAGAAAATATAAGGTTTACCATATATTTCTTAAAAACAAGAAATGAAACCTTGGACTATCATAGGAACAAAGAAGCCCAGCTGCATTCATGGAAGAATAAAGTATTCAAGCTTTGAACTTCAGCTGAGGGCTTTCCAAGGACTAATTGAAGTTTGCTTGCTAAGCAAGCTCTACAGAGACAGGCATAATTTTGAAAGCTGTGTTTTTTCACAAAACTCCCATGAAGAAATCAGATTCTTTAATACCACTTGCAGGATTTTTCACAAAAAATCAAAATGTTCTCAAATTTGAAGTGTCTTCCAATGTTTTAAACAAGAATTCGGGCAGCTTTTTTGCCTGACGATTCTCACAGAGTTCTGGATCATCTCGATCATCCGGATACCCATGTTTCAGGCTTTGAATCTACACTCTGTGAAAAGGCATTACCGCACCTACAAAAAGTTAGATCTCTATGACTTTGGAAAACCTCTGCAAGAAATTCAGAATTATGTGAGGAACTCATGGTGAGAGGACAACTCTGGTGATAGTGGACATGTACACCATTTCCCAACAGCTAAGTAAAAAAAATTAAAATTTATATAGGCGCCAGTCAATAACCTGCATAGCAGAATCTTATCCACAAGTGTCTCATCCAGACTGGAGATCTCAAAGCCTGTGTTTCAGGAACAACAATGTGGGTTTGTCAGCAGGATGCTATTGGGGAATGGGATTAGCACAGCCCATGGCTTTGTATGTAACGGACTGCCAAACACTTGGAGTCATGCCTGTAACTTGTTTCTTGGCCCCTTCCTGGCTGGTGGGTGCCTCTATTCTCTGTTGGCTTAGTCTTTGCTCAGCTCAAGCAATCCTTAAACCAGTATGAGAAGGGAAAGGAGTAAACATACTTGCTGCTGTTTCCTCACCTGCAGGTATGTCTTTGCTATGGAAGTTTCCCAAATGGGAATTTCTTAGATTAGGCTTTGCACTTGGAGAAAATATTGAAGAGATGAGATTACACTACAATGGTATGGTAAAGGGGGTCTGTTTCTGAGAGGAATGCAAACGTTATTTCCAGCTCTTTCTTTCTTTAGGGGGAACAATATTTGCCAAAGAAGAGGATGCTGTTGGTTGGATTGTGTTTGATCAAGAAAAGGAAAGGGTGGTCAGCCCTAAACTCTTCAAACTTAGAGGAATGCTTGATGTCTCCCATCACCCCTGCTGAGCCTGCCATTTCGGTGCCCTCTTCATTAACTTCCATGTACGCCTCATGCATGGCCTCAGATATCTTCAGGCTCTCTGCTGAAGAAATGCCAGACAGATTGGCCGAAGGGCTGAACAGGTCGGTCATACCCAGGGCCATTAAGACAGATGTGAGGTTATATTTTTCCTCAATCTTCATGCGCGGGAGGTACACTTTCACTCTCTTCTTTTCCATCACATTCGGACTGGTCCACTCTGTAAGTTTTTCAAAGCTGATCTTGTTCTCAAGCTGCAAAGAGAGGCAGGGAATGAAATGCCTGAGATGAGAATACAACTTCTTCCTACTGTTCATTTTAATCAAGGCTATCACAAAAGAAGCAAACCAGAATCGTTCCAGAAGGGCGTCCTATCAACATTCTTCTTATAGTTTATTATTTGCCTCTCCAGTACTGCCTGTGTCACTGTCCTTTTATTCAGTTCCTTACCCACCTGACTCGTCCCCTTCTGTCCAACTAATCTTGTGTCTCATGAGGCACAACCCAACAGTTTCATAGCCAGACAAATTAGTCAGCTTGTGAAAGAGATTGCAAAAAAAGCCCATGAAGGTTTACCTACAGTTGATAGTACCTAACAAATGCAAACTCTTCTACATCTTTAATAACTCTACTTTATAATATAATTCCCCCAAAATTGCTGAAATAAGAATAATAGATTATATAATGCAGACTACATCAATTTTTCCTTTTCTTAAGTACAAATAGGTAAATTGATATCACCTTGATAACTTTGTTTAAAATTATTGACATTGGAATTCTGGGGGTTTTGCTGCTTGTTTCAGAAATCGTGCATGAAGATAATCCAGTCCATCTGACTGAAGCAAATTAAGGTTTTGAGTTTTGTTTCTCCCTTGTATCTGTCCATTTTTGTTTCCTCTTTGCTGTTAGCATCCTGCATTCACTCAGTTGTTTAGCTTCATTTTCTCTCGAGACCAAGGTGAAAGTTTCATTTAATTTTGCAGTCAGTAGATAATATTTGTATTCTTGCCTCACTGCATTATAGTCCCACTTCTCTCTTTTTTTCTTTGAAGGACAAAACCATTTTTTTTACTAGTTTTCATGCATCTGGCAAAAACTGACTCAACCTGACTTAAAGCAATTTTTACGTTTTCTTTTACTTTCATATGCTCTTCTCATTTTACGCCCTTGTATGTTCATGGATTCTTTCTGCTGTTGATGTTCATTCCATTAGACCCAAGTCTCTTCTGTGTAATTGTTTTGTGTGTAATTTCTAAATATCTTCCATGCATTTCCTTTCCATCTCTATATTTGAGACTCTTTGAAGTCTTAACAAATAAAGTATTATTGATCAGTTAGTTTAGCTTGATTGATTTTACCATTTCAAAATGAAGAGTATTTTATGAAGAACATGATAAATCTAACTTTGGTTTTCATTCCATAACATAATCAGGGCAATTTTTGAAAGCAGCCTATTTATGATGCTTACTGAGGATTTTGTTAAAAAAAAAATAAAAATAGAAATTAGTGATTCCTGCAAAGAATGCCTGATTCTCATCAGTTTTAGCAACACCTCCTCAACAGTTTGAGGGGGAGGTGGGAGGGGGGAGTGAATGGGCCTCTCAATGAAAAAAAAAAGATATCTGCCCATACATACATCGTCTCCTGCAGGGCTACAGCGGCACTATGCTCCTGTACCTTCATTTTATTAGACTGAGTCAAGGGCTCTCCTAAGAGGTCAGTCTCTGCCTGGGCACCTGGTAGCACCTGGGCGGTGTTGTGCTCCCCTGCCTGCCCAGCACAGCCATGGTGTGGGCAGCTGGGGTGTACATGGACAGCAAAAGGTCTGACAGTAGCCAGGTCCCACAGAAGCAGTAACTCTTCTGCTTCCCCTGCCGGGGCCATACCTGCTCCAGGCCAGAGATGTCATCAGGCAACAGCACCAACATGCTCAGCTGCCCGCTGGCATACGGAAGCTCCAGGATCTTCATTTTCTCTGCGGGCACCGCTGCCACTTTGAAGGTACCATTTTGAAACATCATTTGCACAGGTCTGCTTTCTTGCTGTGAAAACAGAAACATGAGACGATGTGACCGGGGAGCAATTTTTTTTCTTTAAGGAGGCAAATATGCAAGCCCTTTGAAAGGGGCAGAGCTTGATCTTCAAGCATGTCGCCTTTGGAGAAGAGCTGTGTCTCCATTTTCTTCTCGTCTGCTGGTGTGCTCTGGTCAGACACAGCTCCTGCAAACCAAACCAACCAGCTAAATCACCCGTCCAATGACCACAGCATGTTGTATGTGTAACACCCAGATTGTTGGCTGTGCAAGGCTCTGTCTGTGCCCGCATACCTTTGTCACACTGAAGGGAAATTCCCGAGTGTCTTCTTCTTTAAATGCTGTCTTCCATATCCCTTTGAAGTAAACGGCGTTCACAAGAACCAGCACAGTATCGAGGTCAACAGAGCCTGGTTCAAGGAAATCTTGTATCTGTCCTTTAAGAAAGAAACAGGGCAGAGAGTGGTAAGTTTTATGGCAGTAGTCATTTTAGAGGTCGATTGACATGCTGCTGCTTGCCTTGACTTCCTCTCCTTCAAAGGTCTATACGTGGAATTCAGGTTCAAGGGGATGATTTAATACCAAGTGACTGGCACCTGGCCAGACATTTCTGCAAGAAGACAGGTAGATGCAAGAGTGGTATACACCCCCGGGAATGTTTCTGATCAGTGCTTGGAAAAAGATTTATGTAGAAAAAAAGGAACAGGAGAGGGAAGCAGCAATGTAAATTTTATATTTCTCACTGTGTTTCTTTCTCACACTTCACTCCTGTTTATCCCCCCCATCTCAGCACAATAAATGTACGCAAGCTCCTGAACCATTCCTTTCCCACTGCAGCCTAGTGCATGCATTACTTTCTCACCTGGAAGCCCACCTCTTATCCATGCAGCACATGCTTGGAAAATTATGCCAATATTCTAGAGAAGGTGGGACTAACCTTGCATGCATTAAGCTGCTCAGACACAAAAAATGTGCATATAAAGTGTGCATATCCTGACACCTCTGCCTTTGCCAGGTATGTTTAAAACTGCCACACAGGTGCGAAAGGCATTCCTTTCCACAGGAAATATCCACTAGTGGGGATGGGAGGAAGAAATTTCTCCTCTAATGTTTAGTCTTTCCAGAAGTTGTTCAAACACAGTTGCAAGAGGGAAATATATTTCAAAATCTTGTCTGACCTTACCATTCGTCTGATTTTCCACCCAGGAATTAATGAGCTGTCTGGCTTGATTTGACGCTGTTTTGAAGTTGACCATTTCCAAACCTGCTCTGTACAATTTCTTCACACATTTTAAGTAGATCTATAAAGACAGCAATTGTAGCCACCAAGCTAGTAATTTCTTAAAAACAGTATGAAGGTGAAATAAAATATGGCTAAAAGGATTTTTATAGTGATGCCATGGTTAGGCCGTTCTCATTGCTTACTTCCTGGAAGAACCTGCTAAAACTGGGCCAGAAAAATTATTCTGATCCATGACATTTTCAGATCTGACATTTTTATTACTTGACTAGTTAAAAGTACATATTAGAAATCTTTAAATATTTTATTGAAGAAAGTCTGATCCAAACACATTGTTTCAAGTTCATTTGAGAGCATATTATTATCATTATGTCCACTCTCTTTTTTTAAAAGCATTTCTCCTTCTTTTTAAAGATAAGAAGTTTCTTTGATTTAGAATTTTTGTATGTTTTGTTTTGAAAATGTCAAATTAATGATTTTGACCCTTTCTAAAGTTTTTTTAGAGGTGGGGGTTTGTGCTGAAGTCAAATTATTTCCTGAAAAAGACCAAACAACCTATTAAAATGAAAAGGCTTTGGAGGAGCAAATGGGGAGGTGGGGAATTACACTGCCAAATAGTTTTGTTTATTACTCCATTCATTTTTTAATAGAGCCATATTTCTACCTGGAATTGCTTGCCATTCAGGCTATTGTCAGGGCTGTTGCAAAGGGAAGAGCCATGGAAGTCCACACCAGTGGGGAGCACTGGATTAACAAATCACCTACTCGGGCCAGTCCTCCTGGGTTACAGGTTTATGCAGGGTTTAGCAAGAAATCACTCTAAGGTACAACTCACCGGTAGGATTGGACATGTCTTTTCAGCATAGAGTCTGTTGGCAATGTGGAGTGAATAATTGGCTTTTGGTGCAGTGATATCAGAGAGAAGTTCTTTAAACAGTATGTGGATATTCACAGACTTGCCGCACTGAGTTGTTGATAAGAAGATAAAAAGGTATAGCTGTTAGCTTATTTTACTAGAAAGATAATTATTTATAAGGTACAAATAACACGGAAAAGCTCACAGTGTTTGAACATTTGCAAATAGACATGTACTACAGTCTAAAAGCTCCATGGAAGAGGTGTTCAATATAAGCAACTAATAATGTACAATTAATTGATAGCATGTGATGACACTCATTCTAGGTGATAACAAGCAGAAAACTTCAGTGATGAATCTGAAACTGTATGGCTCAGGAGGGAGGTGACAACGAGAAAAGTTCAGGTGTCAATGACTACAACTGGTGGGTTGTCACAGATATAAAGCCTCTCATTCCCAGCTTCTGTTAGCAATTTCGTGGCTGCTTTCTGCTGAAGCTGCAGAGAAAAGTGCTAGATGACAAGGGAGTAGGGAAGTATCTCATAATATAGTGAAAAAACAGATCAACTGTATAATGCCCCAAGAATAGTGTTCCAGGTGACACAGGCCAAGACCATGTAAGAAAAATGCACAATGATAAACAGTGGCTGGGGCTTCATTTTATGAGGAGAACTGTGTTTAGCTGCTCCTTTCTAAGTGTTTAACCAGTCACTAAATGCTCTGATATCAGGTAATATAGCTGATATTACCTTTATTTTAATTTATTTAAAAAAAAAAAAAAAAAAAAACGTCTTCTTGTTCTTTCCAAGTCCCACCTTGTGCTCGTGGATCCCAAGTGGATGGGGACAAGCCAGGGAACATGGCTCGTGTTATCTTTGCAGAGGCATCAGCTTAACACAGAGGAAAGCACATGGGTGGTATCAAGGTACTGGAACCCCTCATGGTGCTTTTGGGGAAGCAGTGGGAATGGGAGGCTGGAAAAGTCCCTATAGCTTTTGGAAGAGTGTGGTTACTTTCCAGCTTGTGAGGCTTGTGGGGTCTTTTCTGCTGAAGCATCTTCCTGCCCCATTTTGGAGTCTCAGCTGCAAGTCTGACTGCTGTACCCTGGCTCCAGGTGCTGAGTGCCTTTCAAATGCTGTCCCCCAGCAGCACCATCAGGTGTGCAGATACTTATCTACAGAAGAAGGTAGCCTGATGCCCAAAGCATCCGATCCTGTCCTGTTGCTTGTTCTGGTGCAACATGTGCAGCCTGTCTTCTTTTTCTGTTTTTGGTTTGGTTTTTTTTGTCGTTGTTGGTTTTGTTTTGTTTTTTTTTTTTAATTTACATCTCTTATATTAAGACCATTAGCAAAGGTATGTGAAGGTGTTGAACCTACTTGAAGCACAGTCAGAACAATCTATTCTCAGCAGAAAAATGTGAAAGAAATAAATGTACCTTAGATTTCTGTACCTTGGTCTGAATATTTCCTCCAAGTCCCGCAATCTTGTCAAAGTGAAGAACCTGCAATTGACAGTAGCAATAGAAGAAATTAAGCATGTGAAGTCCACTGAGAGTCACTGATGTTTGTGTTGAAACTGTAGGTTTAGACTAACCAGGTCTGACTAACACGTAGAAGAACTGAGAAGTTTCATGCAAGCTCTAAATCAGATTTTTTTACTACACGTGTCACACTGAAAAATTGTGACTATGATCCTCAGCTTAGATCCCTGCTTTTCCACTTAATGGTATTCAGTCTATAAACCAGCTACAACCTTGCTGTATTGTATTTGTGGCTGTGGTTCTTGCTTTCTGAATGTTTCATCTTTTGTATATTACAAGTTGTCCTTTCCACCTGAAAGAAATCAGGTCTGGGAGCTAATATAAGCTGAAGCCAGAGACCTGTCTTAACTGTCCTTCAAGGTGGCTCTTTCTTAATGGAAACCAAAGGCCGTTCTTGCCCTTCATGGGGAAAAGCAATAGTAAGTGAAAACTCAGCTCCAGATCCAAACCTCACAGTTCAGAATGCCATTCTTTTTCCAGGCAAGTTTGAAGGCAGTGCCAAAAGTGACTTGTGGGTTTCTCCCCTCAACTGGAGAAAGTCCCAAAGATGTAAATGGATAATTTGTTGCTGTGTTGAACAAGACCAAAAGGAGTTTGTATCCATTTATGTAACTTACCTTCTCCATCTGATACTCAGTGTTACCTCTTGCTCCCAGATAAACCATGGCCAAGGCTGCAATGATGCTCAGGGGGGAATACAAGATGTTGTCGTTGGCGTGGTGGACTTTCAGCTCTTTGAATACATCAAAAGAAAATTCTGCATTTGCTGCACTGATGGAGCCCATTGTGAAATCAGTGTTGTCTAAAGCAAACAGAAATATGACTGTACAGTGGTGATATGTAGCACTTGTTTTAAAAAGTACTGTTGATAGCCCAGAAACTCCTAGTTCATTGCTGGCTTTGTGATGCTGAACCAATGAATGATGTAAAGCCTACAAATTTTGCGATCGTTAGAAGTATTGTAGCTCCCGACACATTTATCTCTGAACGCACATTTGTTTTCTTTCAGTAAGATACTAGCTCATCATCAAGACTGTATGTTGTACTTGCCTTTTAGGAAATAGTTTCACCCATGCTTCAATGTGATGAAAATAACACTGAATGGATGAGTTTCACTATGCCCATCCACAGGACTCTGAATGATGTTTGAGACAATGCAAACTTTATATTTCATTTCTTCTGTGACTACTTTGTACAACGATCTGGATCTTTAAATCTAATGTAGTCAACTTACTATACTCTTAGTGTACTTCTTACTGTTTCTTAGTACAACCACCCACAAATTTGGAGGTTGCTTTCCTGTAGTTTATAGGAATAATGGGAGTAAGTTGCTCTGTAAACCAAGCCAGTTGCTTAGATGCCGAACTATAGAATTAGGGGGGTTCTTTCCTGCAGCCTCATTTCAGACATTTAATCTCTGCTGATGCTTTTTTGTTGAGAAAAAGCACAAACATATATATCATATGTATATATCATATATGTATCATAAACATGGGTTTTGGCAGTACAGCTTGAAATAGTGTAGAGCTGCATTCATACAGTCAGGTGCAAACCCTGTACATGCAAATGAATGTGACATGTTAAGGACATTCATTGAAACCTGCAGTCATTCTCTCTCTTAAATCTGAGACCAAGAAAGTTGCATGCTGTTCTTGGATCTCTAAAACAGTTGAAGTTGGACGAATAGCAGCATACACATAGTTTGGAGCAGATGAGGTTGATTATGTGCCCTGAGAGGCATCTGGCACTAATGACTGTGGAATCACAGACTCTGTGAATCATCATACTGTACCTCACCTGTGTTCTCCAGAGAGTGAGATCAAGAAGAGAGAAGTGCCTTTATTCCCCAAATAATTATTAAAATTATAAAATAACAGTTTTAATGTGACACCAGATTTTCAGTGAAAAAGAGATATTTCTACTCAAGGCTATGGTGGACAAACACTCAGATTTTGCACACCTAAAAGTATTTGACAGTCAAACAGTATAAGACATATTAATACGGCGAGGTAAAATTACTGTATATGCTGTCTTTTTACATATTTGTCTTATACTTACCTTAAAGTTCTTAAACATAATATCCCTTTTTTTCCATATTAAAGAATAAAAATTAGAAATTATATTTTACTTGGAGAAATACTTACCCCACAAACTTCAAAGAGGCACGTAATAATCCAGCTTGCCAGCTGAACCTAAACAGATTCTCTGAGCTCTAGGTGATATATATTGCACCATTTGAGACACTCCCACTATTAGCCTGCAAGGAGTCATCTTTTGAGTCACTACCTTTCGTCACAACCTTTTGATTCTCTACACTTTGAAACATTGAGTAGGCCAATGTTAGACTAGTACTCTATCTGCAGCAAGTCAACCTTTATTTATTGAAGTAAAACCTAATAAAGAAATTATTCATTTAAGCTTTTGCTGTAATTTATAAGGCTGTACCAAAGCAATTGAAGTTCAAGTCTAAAACTATGTTTTATGCAGTTCTTTTGAATTTACACATTAATGTGATTGGTGCGTATTAGTAACTAGAGCCAAATGAAAAACAAATGTAAAAAACTGAGGAAAAGCAGTTACAAATAAATCCAGCGAAACATAATACATTTTTAATAAACCTAGCTGTAACATCAGATCAGGTGATTCTCACAGTCAAGTGAAGATAAAGATCCCAAAATATTACAGGAAAATAAGATTAGTCCATAGTGCATTGATCTGGGAGCGAGCAAACAGTTCCCAACGCAGTCCATTATTAGGGAGCATCCATGGTTGAGGAAAGAGGAAAGAGTCTTATATTACCAAGGAGTGAAAAAAAGCACGTCAGTCCCTGAAAACATAAATATTTCTCTTCTTCTCACCTATGAGGCACTGTAAGTACCGAAAGTACTGTCACACAGTATTCCCACTAAGCATGAAGGCAAAAGTAGATACTGGGCTAACCGCCGAAGGTCTGATACATACTCAACAACTCACCAGAGCGTCTGTGGAGAGGAACAGAGGGAAGTTCCTTGTGGACAGTGACCATCTGATGTTGCCAAAATAATGCAATTCCAAGCAGAGCCAGCTGTGGGATGGTCATTCTATTCAGAGGGGTTTTAAAGTGATTTTTTCCATGTAAGAACAAACCCCAACCTTTCTGTTTATTTTTGAAGACCAAAATAGTACTGAAAATGCTAAAATGCAGAAGTATGTTCCTGGAGTCCAAGGACTGGTGTGGTTTATAGCTTGTACTTGTTACAAGCACAGCCACATCTATTTCTGTACCTAGGTGAGAGCAAAGTTTTTTACCTGAGGTCAAACTGTAAGGTCTACAGCATAGATGTGGATGAAGGGACAAGTGCTCTGAGGAGAAAGCATGTTTTGCTAAAACTTCATTTTGATAAAAACGTTCAGAGCAGCAGTGTTGAGATGAATTAGAGGTCTGAGGGTGGGCATGGCAGAGGAAGAGATTTGAGGAACAGTCAGGAATTACATATCTGCTGCATTGTAAGTCAGACCCCAGTGTATTCAGATATTCAGAAACGGATTTTAACCAGCCAGCAGGATTTGAAGGATGATTGAAGGTCAGCTTTTAATTTTCCTTCTCCACAGGTCATGGCAACAAGGCCCATGGTACATGCACAGGCCATTCTCATAGATCTTCCATACCTACCTTTTTACTATGGCAGGTGAATAAACTACAGAATCTGTCTGCAGGAACATTCATGGTCTGTTAGACAATCATAATGCACAATATCAAATATAATTCAATTGTAAAAAGCTATTACTCTTTATTGAATAATAGACTTGATGAGCAGTAAAGAAACAAATCTGGCGTCTGTAAAGGCTGTAGGGTTGGATAATAGAAATCCCAAATTAGTGCATATTAAGTTACAGAGCACACAGCAGTAGGTGTGCTCTCTGTGAAAGGGAAAGGGAGATACTTTACCCTTAATAGTGTGGGGCTTTTTGCTGAAATGCAGGCATGTACATGCAGAGGATGATAATTGGGACGGCTTTCAGTTTCCCAACTCAGAATAAGCTTTTTGTCTGAGGATGTCATAGCAGCAATGAGGATGGGAAAATCTAAAGACAATAAGCAGCTTTCCTCTCACCTTGTTCACTGTTCCTTATTCTGTAAGGTGGGCTTCTGTATCTTTTACTTTCTCTTATCAGACCTTTCCTGCCCAAGGGCACAGGTTTTGTGTGGAAAGAGCTGTAGCGTGTCTTCTCATATTCTCTCACTTGCACATATTCACATTAGATTTCCAGCTGCTGGTCAGCAGTTGCTCAAACATGCTTTTGGGGCTTCCATGAAGAGCTTTCCTGGGCACCCACACTCCTTTGTATGCTCTGGTTCAATGTGTTTGTCCTGTGCAGACATCTGTGGACCATGCACCTAAAGGGCACAACTGGCCCTGCACAGATGGCCAGCTCTATGCCTAATGTCCAAGATTTTCTCAACAAACACTTTGTTGCACCAGCTCCTCTAGAAGAGGACATGCAGGTGTTTCTGGTATGTTCTCCCAGCCAATATATTTGCCTTCTTTGAACACGCTACATTTCATACATCTACAGCCACATGATCACCACAACAGTTCTCCACGCAGGTAAGCCAGTTGAACATCTGATAACTGCTCAGTTTCTGAATTATGCTGGCTTTCCTAATGTGAAAAACTACTTTGTCAAGGCAGGCAAGATAGTCTAAAGCACCCAAAGTAAATAAGCTCATGGAAGAGAGGAAGTTTGGTTCTGCTAGTTGTCATGGATGGGGCAGTACAACTTCTCCAGAGTAGACTGTCACTACACACGTCTTGTATTTGTCTTGTATTTTTTTCTACACTGAATGTTAGTACAAAAAAGGTTGCAGAAGCAGCCTGTGAGTAGCTGAAGATTTTGGTCAGAATTGAGCAGACAAGTACTCTTTTGTAACTTTAACTAGGGCATTGGACCTGGGGAAATTAGATGCTTCTGAAATTCAAAAGCTGTGTGTAGTACTGTAAAGCAAGACAGATTAAAATCTGCTCCATATCCATGTTTGTCCCAAGAAAGAGGTCAGCAAGGACTCTGCTGCTCTTCCTTTGTGTCTAAACCGGTTCATGGTGTTTGCCCCTCTTCCCCAATACTGGCATAATCAAGAAGATATTAAGCAGCAGAAAAAGCAGCTCTTTCCAGCATTTCTCTGTTCAGATTTTCACATCTAATTTCTTATGGTTGCTCAGCAACTATTGTGCAGTGGTTGGGGTAATGTTTGCTTATACTTTGAATGGCCTGTCCATCTGCACCACGCTTAGCAGAGGCTATATTGGCATCTCTCAGTGACCTTAAATGAACTGAGATGTGGCCAAAGAAGTCCCACTTATAGGATTTCAGATGCTTTTTAGTCAGCGATGGTATTTTCTGTGCTGGAGACTATCAGCTCTGTGTGTTGCACACACCGTCTGAGGCCGACTGTCATTGGTATTAGCGCTAGCACTTTTAGGACAACCAGCACCTTGTATTAAACCTCTCAGAGAGCCAGTGTGTCAGGCCCGTGGTAAAGTTAATGCCTAACGTGTCCTTTCTCCTTCAGAGCTCATAGTAGCTGGTATGTCAATGTGTATTGTGTTTGCACAGCAACCCAAGGCAAAAGGAGACCAAGCACATCCACCAGTCCTCTACGCCCCTTGATTGCTGGTTGGCTTTAGCAATAACTCAGTTTGTTATAATAAAGCAGCAGTAAACCGGTGATTTTTTTTTTTTTTTTTTTTTGTCGGCTGCACACGCTTGCCAAAAGAAAGGAAAAGGCTTGCCCAATTGCCGCTCCTCGGGTAGCTGCATCTCACTCATTGCAACCGTGTCATGCTCGTGGTGCTTTCTGGCAAGCGGTGCTGCTCTTTGCCTGGTGCAAAGCTCCTGAGTGCAGCCTCTGAAGGGACCTAAGTTTAACAATGCTTTCTTCTTTTTCTTTATAGAATTAGCTGCAGTAACTGGCACTTGAAGCGATACCTTACAGAGTCTGAGTGCCTTTCTTACTGGGATCATAAGAAACCAGGACTTCCTGGTGTAAATCTTTCTACCAATTATATTTGAAGGAAGCACTAGTCTTCATATAGGAAAAAAAGTATTACTCAAGATTGCCCTCTCTGGCTTTTTCAGTGACAACCCAAAGATATTCCTCTGCCCTTCTTGTCCATCCATTGCAAATCTTTTGAAGATAGAATAACAATCATGTTATACACAGGTATTAAGAAACAGTTTAAAGGAAAGAAAAATGTCAGAGAAAACTGAGAACTTCAGCCATCAGAGAGATTAGAGTCCAGGGGAAAGGTGTATAGGTAAATTGGGAGTTATTCAGTAATCAGACTGTGGGACAAATGGGTGTTATCTTTCTATTTATGCTCATGCAAATATTATTTGACTTCTTTTGCTTTGCTTTTTGGCAGTGTATGTATGTATTTGTAGGCTGCAAGGTGTGCTGGCATGGTTCAACAGGCTGTGCAGCAACGCTCAGCATCAAGCCTGTCCCTGGGAAAGAGGCAGTAGTATGTCCTTCAGGACCATGTCTGCTCCAGGCACCATTTGAATCTCCAGCTTTTCTCTGCTCTGCAAGCTCTGTTGTTTGGCATTGCACAACATTTACAAGCTACAGTTCCCCACAGAAGTGCTTGCTGCCAGAGTAGAGGGTTTACCTTCTATTTTTAAGTAAATATCTCTGATTTTGTGGGAGCACTGCCATCTACACTAGGAGCTGGTACCACTACACTAGCAGCAGGAGGCTACTTTCCAGCTCCTGGCTCTTTTCGCCACATTTTTTAGATGTCTTACAAATTAAGATGGTAATTAGAAAAAAAATATTATGTGAAGAGAAAATAGATTTTTAAAATTTATATTTATATATATTAATATATATATAAATGATTTTGAAATTATCTACATATCCCTGGAGAAAGTTTAAAAAAAAATACAAAGATTATAAGTGACTACTTGTGCTGCAGTAAGCTAAGTGACAGTCCTTGTTTCAGCCACACCACCTCATTTGTCACACACAGAATTCCTTTTCCCATTGTGAGACTTGGGCTCTTCAGGATAATATTTTACAGCACTTGCCTTTATCATATATGCCATTAATTGGTTTTCTTTTACGTTTTATGTGAAAATATATAGGTCTGATTATGCAAGATAATACACTCTAACACTGTTCATTTCACTCTTTTTTTTTTTGACATAAGTAATTTATATTTGAGACAAACCAGATATACACAAAATACTGAGAGCAGTCGTTAAAAAACATGTGTGGCTATTTTTTGCATACCCTGTTCATCAGAAAAGCCCACAGCCTGTGTTTGGAGTTCTCTTCTCCTACCAGCTAATCGATATGAAAACTGTACCTCTACTGGTAATTTTACTATTCATACTGGAAGTGCAGCCATGTGAGACAGCTCCACAGACTGTTATGAGTCTGCTTGATTTAGCAATTGATTTTGTGTTGAGTACTGTAATTTACTGTAATTTTTCCCCCATATCTCAGCATTTGGAAAAGCCCTTTGTATCCGCAGTTCTGAAATGGCGCTAGTGTGTTCCCAGCATTTTCCTTCTTCCCATCAGTGAATAACAGGAAAAGCAGAGTGAGTCATCAAAGGGGTGGAATATTTTTCCTTTAAAAAAGTACTTCTCATGTATCTGTGGATTTTGGACATTGTCTGCTACCAAACTGGGCGGGCTGCTCTCCTCTCCGCAATCCCTCTGCTATATCTTCCCACCGTTTACTCCACAACAGCCAGGAGGTGGTTTAGGGAACTAGGTCATCGGCAAACTAACTTTACCAACATTTTTTCCTCTTGATTTACATCCCAGAGAACTGCTCATCACTAGGTCAGGCAAGTAATTGTGGTGGCTGAAGGGAGGGAGCAGAAACACATGGAAGGCAGGTGACAAGGGGAGCATCCTCCTCCTCCTCAATGGCATGAGACTGGCTCAGCCATGTCCTAAAACTGCTCTTAGTTCCCTGACAAAAATCAAATGCAAAAAAGAAGGAGGAGGTGAGGCTCGGGGTTTACCTATCCTGATGTCAAGTTGTCCAGTGCCTAAACTTAGCACAATGAATATTTAAAAATGAGAGGTAGATGTTAGTGTCAGTTAGACACTTTTGAAAGGACTATCATTATTTTTACCTGCTATATTAGACTATTTCTCTGTACACTTAATTCTGCCACCTACTACATTTAGCATTTAGCTTGCAGTGCGTTTATTATGATAAATGGAACAAATGCAGGCTACTCATCTAAATACCATCGCTATAGATGTTTTTATTAGTTTTTTATGTTGATGAGGAATAAAATGGAACAAGAAAATCATGATGTTGGAGGCACAAAGAAAGATATTTTTTTTATAAACAAGAATGGCTGATCACAACTTAAAGTTTTATGTGGTAAGTAAGTGTCTAATTCACAGCCATTGCAGAGCAGGCTTTGCCAGAAAAGGCCTTCCATTATTCTGAAACCCTGTTTTTGTTATGTGGAAGTTTATGAAGAAGTTGGAGAACTTTCTAGCACATACAAGGGCTTCTCACAGGAAAAAATAGCCAATGGGTCTGCCCTGCTTGAGAACAATCAAGATTACACCAGAAAAGTCTTCTGCTTTCTCTGTTCTCTGAGAACAAATCCTGAGAGCCTCATTCCAGCTTGAACCATTACCCCTGATCAACATTTAAAGAAGGGGTCCCACAGGAATACTTTGCTATTCCCATACAAAGTGGCATTTTACTTAAGACCTATACATAAGTTGGGTAGGTGAAGCTAAAAGACACCAAATACCTTCATTTATCCTTTTAATGCAGATAGATCCGTATTCTCCTGTTGCCTTCACGTGGGAGAATCTAACACTCATCTTTAGGGCACTAAAATCATGAGTTTATTGGAGACATGCTGCTTTAGGGAAGGATCAAAATAAGATTTTCTATGCAGATGTCTCCAGAGGCCTACAACTCTTTGGCAAATATCACATTGTGTATTTTAAGGTAGATGTCATTTTAGTGAGGCCTCCTAAAAGTAAAACATGCCTGAAGATGATGTTAGAAAGGAAATAGTTAACATTTTTTAGGTTTTTATCTCTAATTTGGCTCTTATCAGGCAGTCTTTTACAGCAAGTTAACACATTAGGATAAAGCCTAGCAAAAATGTGCTTGTCCTTCGTCCTCAGTGTTTGCCAATGCAGATGTTACAGCAGAGAAAGATCTAATTTCCAAAATAATCTGCATTTAAGGGGAGGAATATCTTCCAAAGAAGAGAATGGTGTTGGTTGGGTTGTGTCTGATGAAAAAGAGGAATGGGTGGTCAGCTTTGAATTCATAAGAAACTGGGCAACACAAAGGCACTGCAACAAGTCCCATGGCACCAGCTGCTTCAGTGCCCTCTTCGTTGACTTCCACGAATGACTTCTGGATGGCTTTGGACACAACTAAACCATCTTTCTTAGAGATTCCTGACAAATCAGCTTTTCCCCAGTCAAAAACATTCATCACTCCCATCTCCCGGAGGGTTGTGTTGAGAACATAACTTTCCTCCATCTTGAACTGAGGCAGGTACACCTTCACTCTCAGCTGTTGCATCCTAGCCGAGCTGGTCCATCCTGCTAGCTTTTCATACGTGAGGGTGCATTCAAGCTGTAAGGTGATATTGGTAATAATGATTGACACCATAATGAACAGGAGGGAAATACAATAGGGTTCAGTTTTTCCTGCTTGCCTTCTGACTGCACTGGAGCAATGTTAAAGTATTGCTCTCTTTGCAGCCCCTTATGTATGCTACTAGAGAGAAAAAGTAGTACCTGTTCTAGGCCAGTAAACTCCTCACAGACAACTTCAGGAAGAAGAATGAACATACTCAGTTCATTATTAAAGTATGGGAGCTCTATCACTTTCATTTTCGGTTCCTCTATGAAGGCCATGTTAAAATAACCTTCTTGAAACATCATCTGCACTGTCCTTTTCTCATTCTGGAACACATGAAACATGTTAAGCAGAAAATACAGAAATATAGAAATGATCACTCTGGTTGTAATTAGAGATTAGAGTTCACTCCAGAAAACATTATTTACACTGGTGATGGGTTTAATGTACTTGTAGCATTGACGTGTTCCTCCCTCTTAACTGTAGTTCCAATTAAGTTATCCGTTTTAGAAGCATAAAACCTACTTTTCCATTTCTACTGGTGCTGGATTACTTTACTCACAACTCCCTTATTATGTTGGGTTTTTCCTGGCATGTCAGATGAGGAGACTGATGCATCTGAAGCAGCCATGAATCTAAATTCTTCACAAATAATGCATACATTCTCCTGAGATAATTTGTCTTTAGCTCATTTTTTCCTGAGACCAAACACTGTTCTATTGGTAAGTAGTAGTGGAGGAACAGAATTGTCAAATTCAGTCCCAAAAGCAGAATGGTTTTGAAACAGCATCCTTAGTTGCAAAATCCCCCCCAAAAGCTAGTGCATGTGCTCAGTGACTTTGACCCAATGGGGATCTCAGCTGCACAAGGGCTGCTTCTGATGGGAAGTGATAGAAATAGTTACGTATTTGGTTGTCAAACTGGAGCGAAGATGTACTTTTCCATTGTTCTAGCTGAAGATCAGTGTTTTGTCTTGGGATAACAGAGAGGAGGAAAGCTCCTGTCTGCTGTTATAGCAGACTGACATGTGATCTCCATCCCCCAGCTGTTTCAGTTCCTGCCCGTACTGTACCTTGTTCACGTGGAAATATGTTTCTTTAGTGTCTTCTTTCCTAAATTCTGCTGCCCACTTTCCTTTAAAATATATAGCATTGACCAGGACAAGTACAGTGGAGGGATCAATAAACCCGGTAGCAAAAAGGTCTTTGATTTTACCTTTAAAAATAATGAATTAAGAAGTATTATTACTTTGTTCAGGCAATTAGCTGCATTTGACTATTAATAATCACTCCTGTAAATCTGAATAGTAGTATAATGCTGTCAGAAAATAACCAAAAGTTTATGTACGGCTTTTGAAGATAGGAATTCAAGGCATTTTTGTACTCCTTCCTACATTTAGTTCTTATTCAATAAAAAAAATGCAGTAAGTGTTTAATATATAAAAATATATAAATGGGGTTTTTTATACATAAAAAAGGTGGAAACTGAAATTCAGTCATGATATTCCTAACCTGTTGGACTGCAAACCAAACAACCTGCACATATTCTTCTTTACCTTTTGTTTCATTTTCCACCCAGAAGTTAATCTTCTCTCTGGCTTCTTCTTCAGTGTATTTAAAATTGACTGCCTCCAGTTCTGCTCGATAGAATTTCTTTGTGGAATCCAAGTATTGCTGGAAAGTACAAATGACAGAATTTTATTGCAACACGATGATTTTTATAAGATTGATAATTTCATGACTTCAAGATAATTCTGTGTAGTAGATCATCAAGAGAGAAACAAGTAAAACAGGGGTATATAAAAAAAAATCATTGAATTAACTCAAGCGTGCAATTTTTAGAGAGCTTATTTATAACAAAACATATTTGCAAATATATTTTTCTGTATTTTCAAGTTGTACTGAACAGCAGAAATGTCTCATCACAGTAAAAAATATCTAAGACCAAAACTTAGTACCTTTCTTTAAGTTTATACATCGTTGTTATGCTGCCTGTATTCCCCCAACCACCAAATGAAAAAGATTGCTTCATTTTGAACAAATAACTGGGGCTGTTATTATTACAATGAGATATCTCTCTTTACCTAGACTGCAAAGTTTTGTAAGCAAGATAAAATCTTTACTTGAAAAGAGCAAGGTGGTTACAGAGATAAAACAGCTCTGTTCCCAGCAATACTCTTACAAACACCTTAGGTCTGGTTTCCTGAGGAGATGATTTGTATGCACGTTCATTGCCTGGGCTGTCAGTGTTCCACGGGAATGTTCTGAGATGGTCAATTCCACTTAAATTAGACTAATTGACAAAAATCACAAAGATGCTACTTTCTTCAAAGCCTTGTTTGAAAAGGCAACAGGGATCAGAGTCCCATATTCTCATAGACCTTTCTGAACGAAAGGTGGAAGAGTGAGTACAATCATTTTATTAGAAAGAGAGAAGACACTGGCTGGGGGAAAGTCATCTGCTGGCCACAGACCTTTATTCCTTGGATAGAAGTGACACAGCAAGCACTAGTTCTGTTAGAACTGGGTATGCGTGGCAAGGATATATTGATGGTGATTAATGCCATCACATTTTCTGGAATGCCCAGGGAAAGCTGTCACTGTAGATCTGTTTTTTGATATAAAAGCTTCTACGTCACAGCTTCCTAATGCTCTGCTGTTCCCAACGTCTACCACTGGGCAATCGAGATGGAAAGGGTCCCCGACTGCAAGAGCCGTGGAGTGCAGTCATTTGGCAGCATACCCCAACAGCATCGTCGTGTTTCATTTCCCTTCATATTTAGTGATAAAAGAAATCCTACTGAGCTCATAACTCCCAGGAGCTATTAAAATGAACACCACGGCCCCTTACCTGGAAGAACGGGTAAGTAATTTCTCCAAAGAGCCTGTTGGCAATGGTGAGCGAGCAGCCTGGTCTGGGTTCATTGACTGCAGCCAACAGAGCCTGGAACTGGGAATGGACTCCTCCACCTTCTTCGCACTTCAAACAGGAAAACAGAAGTTTCATGGCAGGCTTGAGCTTTCTTATGCAAAGCTGGACCTGAGGGTGAATTGTAGCCTCTGTCTGTGTCAGAAACCTGCCTCCACCCAGTTGATATAGGCGTTGGAATAAGTGCATCAGGGCACCACCTCCAAATCCTCCTGTACCAGACATACAGAATGACAAAATGATTCCCCTTCAGGCCCAAGCTAGTCCACCTCCAAATCGCACTGTATCCTACAGTGATGGCTCTGTACGCACTGAGCAAAAGTCTGCTGGCTTACAGACCGGCAGGAGCAAGATCCGGGGTGCCTTTGGCATGCCCTGGAGACAAACCTTTGTGGGTGGCAGTTTAAGTACTTATCACATTTTAGTTTAGTTTATAGTTTATAAACAGTTTATATAGTTATAGTTTTTTAGTTTAGTCATTCACATTTATTTTTTCACTACTGTTTTGGTTAGAAACCTATAATGAGAAGGCTCAGTTGTTGAAATGTGTGATCTCACCAGGCCCCTTAAATAACTAACAGAAGGACAGTAATAAGCAGGTCTGGAAATCTATACAGAGAGGTTGCTCAGCCCTGCTGTGCTTTCTAATTAAGTGATGGTTTGCAAGGAAAAGGGCTGACAAACCGGCACCTGTTGCTTCATCTCAGAGCTGCAACTGTGTCTTACCTTCTCAGAAGGGTATTGGCTTTCCTGGCTTGTACTGCTCAAAACTTCACTGAAATGAAATACCTGCAATGTAAATGTTGGGTGAATGCAGCTGAATGATGGTACCTCAAAGTTAAAATAGAGTGTTGCAACACTATCCCAAAACACAGCCAGACACAGCCAAATGGGTAAAGTAGTTTGTCCTTTATCATGAGATCCTTGCAAGTGAGCAAGAAGTTTTTGTGGAGGGTGAGCTCATGAAATCTTTGAAATCTTTCAACTTAAGAAAGAAGACTGGGTATTCAGAGAAGCCAGAAGACCATCTCACAGGGAACCACCGCTTCCGCGCCCTGGACAGTGGAGCAATACCTCCAAAACACTTTCTTTAGCATTGATGTATTCATTGAATGATCAATTACTGTAAAAGTGTTCAGTCTGGAAAAAAGTTTGGTATTAGGAATAGCAAAAGAAAGGTTTTTCTAAAGGGCCTTCTGTATTCATCACTCCTTTGGATGCTTAGGAACTCTGTCAGATTGTACTATCAGCCTCTTGGCTCATACCTTGCCACCATCCCTTTTTCAGAGCGAAGGAAACCCACCTGCTCAATCTGTTTGAGTGTGTTGCCCCTGGCGCCGAGGACAACCATCCCAAAGGCAGCTGAGAGACTTAGCGGGGAGAAGAAAATGTTTTCATTTCTTTTTATTTTGCTCAGCTCTCGGAAAAAGTCAAGACAGAACTTGGCATTGGCTGCGCTGAGAGAGCACATTGTGGCGCTGCGATTGCCTGCAACAAGGGAAACAAAGATTTATTCTTCTCATCCTTACACCTGCTAAGCTTGGATGCCTTCGTAGAGCACAGTAAGGTCTTTCTGCAGTAGCATGGCTGAATTGCTCGTCACTTCATAGAAGATTTCTGACTCCCCACGTCTGGGATTTCACAGTGAACTTCAGGTTGAAGCAACTCATCTGAAAACCAGCACCCTGAATGGCAGGAGAAACACATTTTCAGAAACAGTGTTCTGAGTTTAGCTGTTTCTCCAGCTCAAGCAATAGCTATACTCAGCACAAACCTTGTTCTAACCACAGTCCCAGCTCACTTTATCTCCTGATCTTTCTTGCCTTGAGTCCTCTAGGCATAGCACTTAATTGCACTCCTTGATCATACCTCCCTCTCTGTGTCTCTAAAAATTTTGTGTATATTAATCAGCTGTGCCTCACATACCATGTCCTTCTAAGGCAGGTTGCTTAATGAATGTTCAACAGAAAATTGAACTACAGGTGGGCTCACTTAGCAAGATTTTCAACAAATATTTTGTATTAGTGGAAAATGCCAGTCATATTTTTTGTTTTATCTGCAGCTTTAACACTTTTCCCAGATATACTGTAGTTATAATCTCAATTATTACTAGCAGGTGATCTTGAATGTTATGCAAAGCTCTTCACATCTTACACCTAGGACAGAGTTCCTTTCTTATGAAAGTCTTTTCCCAGTGTCTTCATCCAGTAAAGTGATGCAGAGGCACCTGATCCCTCAGAGAGTCAGTTCAGTATTTTAGAGTTTCCACTATTCTAAGTCATTTTTTGTTTGATTCTTACTGAAATTGAATAACTGTCTCCACAGATGTGGAAGATACCTTTCCCCCACTACACAAGAAGTGTTAAATTATCCATATAAACATTTAAAATATGGAATGGTGTAGAAAGATTATGTCCTCATAAACTACCAATCTGGATCATGCAGAGAAAGTGGGAAAAGGTTTGGCTTTAATCTTCTCTTCGAAACCCACTTGGTAAAGCCATTGTACAAGTTAAGCACAGCTTCATCACACAGCCCATACATTTTAAGGTATTCCAAAACATTGCACAGCACCTTGAAAATATTCTTACTTCCTCAAAATATGCTATGTACAATATATATATGTGCTAAGCAGATTTGTACACCACTAATGCACATATCAATCTTTAGACATTTCATAGTTATGTCATTTGTAATGTAAAGGTTAGAATTAAAGGTCAGGGAGATATTTACCTTCTCCTCAGGACTGGTGGTGTCAACTTGACTGTTGAAACAGGGCTTCTGGAGCAATGGGATATAAAGCCATTGCCACTCCCAGTGGCAGCATAATTTTCATTCATGACGAATCACATTCCTGTCTGTTGCAAGCAGTTAGTGTAATTAGGGGAGCTTTTGTGGAATCTTGAATTTTTCCTTATCCCCATGAATTCAGAAAGAAGTCACAATTATAAATGCATACTGAGGCATAAAAAGATGTAGCTTTCAGGGGTTTTACCTGTAAAAAAAAAGTTCTACAAAATTTGAGGTGTGTTGCTGTCAGAAATGGCACTACTGAATGCAAACACACATGTTTTTGTGGTAGAAATTAATTATTAAGGCCTCTACAGGTGGCACATTGGTAAAGGAAAGAAAATATAAAAGTACCTATTTGGCCAATGGTGACATGAGGCAGTGGCTTCAGAGTCGGGGCCGGGCAATTCCCTTTACCTGCTCCATTTGTGTGCTTCTCAAGGCTTCTTTCTTAAAGATCCTTTCCAGGGAGTTTCCCCTACTTGTTCTCTTCTTCAACTGGGAATTTTGTCCTTAATGGAGAAAAGTGGTTTAGCTGCTTGTTCCAGAGTTTGTTGACTATCCAACAGTTTGGACAAACGGTAGCTTGCTTCCATTTGCATGGGCACGGTGCACACACAGCACAACTGTGCCAAGTGTGTACATTGGGTGTGCTGCAGCTGAGCACTTTGCAGTTGGTGCAGTGGTGCAGCACAGATTGTGTGCGCTCATATTAACCACACAGCACATGCAGACTAACTCTGGCACCCCTGGGATGCTATGCTTCCAGCAGAGATGCTGCAGTTAGGGGCTCCTCCTGCGTCATCTGCACTTTCTTAGGTTTTCCAGGTGGAAATATGAGAGCCCTGTTCCTCTCCTGGGAATTCCTGATATTTCTACTGTATTTGGGAAGATATTTATAGCACAAGGGGTAAAACACAGAGAAGCTATCGCTGTCCTCATAGCCTTCTTTCAAACCCTTGCATTCTGCAGATGTATTTACAGGAAAGCTAGACAAGTTTTGTCCAGGCAGGCTTTCCACAAGACACTGATGTGTCAGCTCGGTTTAGCCCAGGACTTTTCATTACTCCTCATTTTTATCAATAATTCTGAGGATTTTTTATCAATAATTCTGGTCCTTGCCTCATGTTGCATCAGCAAGGCATAGGCAGCAGGGACAGAGCAACCTAATTGTAAGCAGCAGTATGTTTCTGGGGCTATTTTCCTGAAAAAAAGTCTTCCTTCTCATTTAGGTTGATATGGTATGTGGGTGGGCAAGTATTTGCATGAGTGTACACAAGCACAAACACTTATAACACTGTTTTGTAAGAAGTACTTAGTTATCACTGCTAACATATACTTATACATCAGCCCAATCAGATACTAGGCTTCTCTGGTATTTAGGAAGCTCTGAAGGCAGCTTTGTATCAGTTATAAGACACTCATGAGTTTATTTCCTTTCCTATTTGAATTTTCTCATATTTTTTTCTTGGAGGAAACAGAAATTAAAACTGTGCTGTTCCTTCAAGCCCTGAGGAGAAGAGGGTTAGACCTGCCCAGTTTTTGCCTGAAGGGAAGAAAGCCGTGCCGTCTGGTTTTACCTGCTTAATGTTGGGGCAAGAAAACTTCCCGAAGAAGAACTGTCTGGTTTGCTTTCCTGATTTCTGAGGAGTGGTTGCTCTCCACACAGTCACGACAAAATCCAGCTCCTGAGCCTGTTCCTCTTGCTGTCACCTAAAGGAAACTGCAGAGCAGAACCAGGCAGATGCTGTTCCCTTTCTTGCAGTGGTGGGCTGTTCTCTGCATTCTTATTTTTGGTACTAGGCAAGGCAGAGTTGGAGGAAAAAAGTTGTAAAATATAAAAGCAGGAAGTACACAAGTAGGAGCAGGAAGATGCAACGGGTCTAAGTCTCAGAGTAGCGTTCAGTCATCTCCCAGAACAGAAGAAGGGGGATGGTTTTCAAACAGCAAGACACAACAGTGTATTTATTTTTCAGGAATACTGTCAATTTTGCATCTGAATTAATATAGTGAATGAAAAATTACAATCCAGGAGCACAATAAATCATGTCCTTTAGGCATAGGGGTGTGTGCTCAAGCCACAATTCCCCTTAAAATTTATTCTTCTGTGTATGAATCTGTCAAGGCGAACTTCAAGCTACCTAATATGCTAGGAGAGTGAAACACTACTGTCCTGGTTCCAGCAGCAATACTTAGAAACTGATACTGGTACTTTTGAGTTCTTGTCTTATCTGTCTTGAGTGAACAGGTCTGTTTGTTGTTGTTATTTCTCTGCTTCTTTAGGTACTTCTGATCCTGTTACGTTTTAAATTACCCTGAAGATTGACTCTCGCTCCATTGCTCCATTTTGTGGAGGTTTGTTTCACATGGACCATTTTCTGTCAGTTGTTAAATTATAACTAATGAAATCACTGGACTGGCATAAATTTCCGGAAAGGAACATTTCCTGCCGCTCTTCTAGTGTCTTCCTTTGATATTTTCTGCTCTTCTAGTTTAGTATAGTGCAGGTTAGAGTGTGGTTTAGACAGGCATAGCTCTCTAGTGGGAATGTCTGGGAAACACGGGAGTTTTTAATCAACTAGCTTGAAGGATCTCCTGTGTTGTAGGTTCTGAGGAGACTCAGTACACAAACACCTGCTAGGAAAAACAAAGCTATAGCTCACCCTGCCTTCAGACAGAAGGCTGGACTAGGACTCGTGGCACCCCTGTCAGCCCTGTGACTCCCTTCGTGCTCCTGGAATAATGCAAAGGTTCATTGCTGGCCAGGGGAAAATTAAGAGAATTGAAGACGGTCATGGTAGTCTCAGAATCAGAAGACTCTCTACTCTTTTCCAAGGATGAGCCTCCTCATGGGAAAGGATAACTAACAGGAGGATTTTTTTGAAAGGTTGCAGAGAAGTAGTTGCTGCGATGTGTTGTGTGAAAGGAAGATGAAGATGTAAAAGCACTGCAAGTAAAAAAGATGTGAGAGGTTTTGTTTCAGATAGTTAGACTACTCTGGAGAGAATGCAGATTTCAAAGACAGCCCTTTTAGCTGGTAGTCAGATGCTTGTCATGGTAAAGTTGCTTTCAGGTACAGAGGAGTGGATCACAGACTGACCTACTTCCCACCGCTGAAGTTCCCCACATTTAGATAAGACTGCAAATAGTGTCATGTCCTTAGGGACAAGTTTTGTTCAGCAATGTTTACCTGTTTGCAGTCATTTTGGCTGAAAGTCTCAAACTTTTCCTTCACTTACCAGGAACATTTCTATTAGTGTTTCTTTTGACGTTGGGGCCGGGACCAAGGGAAAGAAGACTTCTGTATATAAGTTATAAAGTGCGAAGAGTTCTGATTACATGGATGGGATAAGCACAGGAAGGCCAAAACGAGGAACAAGAGATCCACTTGGCGATGTCAATCCGCAGAACACAATTTCACAGCAAGAAGAAACGACTCACTCACCATCAGCATGACACTTGTGATTATTCTTTGCTGCAAGTAAACGCACTGCAGAAGCCTGGATGGCTACAGTCCCCCCTTGGCTTTTTTCTCACAGTTTTTCAGCCATATGCTTCTCTTGCTGTCAGTGTCTGCATGACACAGCAGGGAAGTAGATTCTTGTTGAGAAACCAGAGGCTGATCTCAAGCTTGACAGCAAAGGCTCTTCTCATCTCTTTCATCTGACAAAATGCACGTTC